AGACTTTATAATAAGTTTATTTATATTTAATAAATATAACGCTATCTAGATAGCGATAGATTAACTTATTAAGAAATAATACTATATCGCGTACTCTAATATAGATAAAGAAATTATAATTAAAAAGATAATTAATATATTATTTAAGAAGATCTTTCGCTTATATAATCTATCGATATTAATAATTTCGAATAAAGACTCTTAATTTATATCGATAATATAAAAATTCTTTTATAAATAACTCGAGATTAAGACTAAATTATTAATAACTTTCTATTTTAAAATTAATAAATAAATTAAATAAGCTAATTAGAATATAAAATATTATCTTCGAATATATTATAACTATATATAAAACGATTAATCTAGATAATTACTTATTATCGAGTTTATTAATAATAATACTATTTTCATAATAATAAATATTCTATTATTCTTTATAAATAAGGGCTTTTACTCTTAAATAAGTTTTAACTTAAATATTATTAATTATAATATTACTTATAAGCGCCTCGACGTTATTCGAGTAAAAACTATTATTAAGTATATATAGTAAGTCTTTAATTATATTCGAAGTAATATAAATTACGCTTAAAAGACTATAATAATCTAGATTAATAAGTAATATTAAAAGATTACTTTTAAAATAGATAATATAATCTTTCTTAATAATAAAAATATTATTTTAAATTAATTATCTCGAAAGTTAAATAATAAGAGATATAGTTTATTTAAGATAATAGATTTTATAGAAATTTTATATCGCTTAAAGCTTCTAATAAGTATAAAGATTTATAATATCTTTTACTCTAATCTCTTAACTCTTATATCGATAAACCTTTTATCTAAATAGATTAATTCTCTATTAAAGTATATTATTATTAATAATTAAATCGAATAGATAATAGAGAAGATTCTCGCCTTTAAATTTATTAATAATTATTTTAAATATAATAAAAAATAAAAGAATTTTAATAAGGATCTTAAATAATATAACTCGAATAATAGCGAATTTGAAAATTATTAAGATATAATTAACGATTTCTATAAACGATATTCGTAAATAACTTACTAGCGTTAAATATCTCAGATATCGCGTTTTTAAACGAATTAAAATCGTTCGATATTTTATAATAACTTTATTTTTTATAATTTATAAGACGATTTCTTAGATCTAAATCGCTTTATAATAATTTTATATTAGATTTATTAAGTCGACTTCTCTATCTAATATAACTCTTAATATATCTCGAAGCTATATTAGATTATACGCGGATCTCATTATTATTATCGCTAAGTATAATTAATATCGACTAGATAACTTATTATAGAAAGATTTACTTTATTATAATTTAATATTAAATTAAAGTTTAGCGTTTATAACTCGATTTAATTTAGAATCCCTCGATTAATTAAGTTATATTATTTTATTAATATTCTTTATACTAGAATATTAATTTAAGAATTATTATTATCTATTAAAGTACTTATAATTATTACTCGTTTATTATCTTATTAATTTCTTTTAAATTAGAATCTCTATACTCGCTATATTTCTAATTAGCGATAATGTTAATTTAAATATTAAGATAGAGATTTTTACTATTTATATTATTATCGAAGAATATTATAATATTAAAGATCTTAAATATTAAAAGTTTTTTATTATTTTATCGATTTTTAAATAAGCGTATATATATACTATTTCTATTACTCTTTTACTTATTAATTATAAAAGTATAATTCTATAAAAGAGAGAGGATAGTATTATAAGCGTATTTTATATCTCTCTTAATATATTATTTAGTCTTATAATCTATTAGAGTCTAGCGTATCTTAGTAGAAATATCTATGACTATCTAATATCTTTTATTTATATAATTATTCGATATTTAATTATCTTATTTAATATATCTATATTAATATCTTATCTATACTAGTTCTAATACTTTACTTATATATTAATAAAAGAATAAGATAGAATTAAATTAGAAAATCTTAAATTTATATGTATAGTTAATTATAAATTCGAGTTCTCTACGCTTTTTAACTAGGTCGGCTAAGTTATTACGAGTAAATAAATTAGCGTTTATAATTATTAAAATCTCGCTCTCTCGCCTTTTCTTATTAGAAATTAGATATACGTTATTAATATATAGAATAACTTTTTTATTTTCTATTAAATTTTTAAGATTTTTTTTTAAATTATAAAATAAAATATAGACTTTTAGATAAAAAAAGAATTTTTAAATTTAGTCTTATAGTTATTAAAGCGTAAGAAATTTAAATATTACTTATTAGAGTTCGCTCGATAGCGAAATAATTCTAATTAAAAAATAGATATATATTATTTAATTTTAATATAACTTTTTTATTTTCTATTATAATTTTAATCTTTTTTTAAATTATAAAATAATATATAGGCTTTTAGATATAAAAAAGGATTTTTAAATTTAGTCTTATAATTATTAAAAGATAAGATAATTAAATATCGCTTATTAAAGATCGCTTATTAAATTTACTCGATAGTTCTAATTAAAAAAAAAACTATAAATTTAATTTATTAATCTTTACTCGTATATTAATAGTAAAATACTTATATTTCTAATTATAATTAAGACTATTAAACTATTTATCTTTTTATAATATATATTTTTTTAAATTATTTTAATTAAAGTAGTTAAATAAAATATACTCTTTTTAACTATTTACTTATCTCTCGATTATAGATAAATTAAAAAAATTACTTCTATTAATTAATATTAGATTTAAGTTATATATATTATAAATAAAAATTACTTTTAATTAATTCTTACTATTATTCTTCTTTAGCTATATTCTTAATATATATATATTTCTTAATAAATATTTAATCTTTTATTAATCTTAATTAAATCTTTAATTAATATAAAGATATTTTTTTTTAATTAATATCTTAAATAAAAGACGTTAATATTAAGATTATATAAGAATTTATTATATTTTATAAAATATAATTTCTAAATAACTAGAATATCGATCTAGCTTTAAGTATTATTCTTTAAAAACTTATATTATAATTATAAGTTTCTTATTATAAATATTATAATTATACTCTATAGAAGATATCTTTTTAAAGAATAATATTATAAATTAAAATATTTTATCTTTATTAATATATATAAAAGAATAAGATAAAGCTAAATTAAAAAAATTTAAATTTATATATATAGTTAATTATAAATTTAGATTCGCTACGCTCTTTAATTAAACTAGCTAAGTTAGCTTAATAATTCTTACGCGTCTTTCTATTAAAAATTAAATATACGTTATTTATAAATAAAATAACTTTTTTATTTTCTATTAAAATTTTAAGATTTCTTTTTTAAATTATAGAGTTTAGATTACGCTTTTTAATTCTAAAAGAATTATAAAACTCGATCTTATAATTATTAAAAAGTAAGAAGCTTAAATATCGTTTACTCTCGATAGCTCTAATTAAAAAATAGATATATATTATTTAATTTTAGAATAACTTTTTTATTTTCTATTAAATTTTTAAGATTTTTTATTTAAATTATAGAACGTAATATAAGCTTTTAAATAAAAAACGAATTACTAAACTTAGTCTTATAGATACTTAAATATAAGAAATTCAGATATCGCTTATTAAAGATCGCTTATTAAAATTTACTCGATAGCTCTAATTTAAAAAAAAATGGTTATGAATTTAATTTATAAATCTTTACTCGTTCTTTTATAATAAAATAATAGCGATTATATAATTATATATATCTATTTTTAATTAAGTTTTCTTTTTTAAATTAAAGTAAGTAAATATAGAGATAATAGTAAATATCTTTTTAAGTATTTTAAAAGTAAGTTATTTAGAATATTATCAAGTTTAAAAATAAATAAAGTCTTTCTTCTATTAAGTACGAGTAAATTTTATTAGAATAGTCGCGATTTTAAAATATCTTATAATAAACCTTTGATAGAAGTTAGCGAATTTTAGAAATACTTATATATCTTTAATATATTTATCGAAGTTTTTTTAAAATCTTTTTTATATATTAAATATATTTTATTTTATTATAATTATAAATAAGAATATTATCTAAATAAATAATATAAAATATATTTAAATATTTATATAAGATATTATTAATAAATATTTAAAAAGTAATAGAGATATTATATAATTTAAAAGATATTTTTATATTTTTAAATCGATTATATCGAGTAAAAAATACGATTTTTTCTTTATAATCTTTTTTCACTTTAATTTTATTAAAAGTAGCTATAATATCGAATTTATTATATATTCTTATTATATATATTACGAGCGTATTCTTAATATACTATATAGCTCTATAGTCTAGTATCTTAGCGAAGATATCTTCTATTATATTATATCTCGTTTTCATTTATATAATTCGATAGTCTTATTATTCTTAATCTATCTCATCTATATTAATATCGTATTTATACTTATTCTAATAATATATAATTTTATAAAAGTCTCTTTAATTAATACGTTAAGAGCTTTATTATAAGATATCTTAGAAATACTTATAGAGTTACTAGCGTAGACTTAGTATCGTATATATCTACTATATAAATTATATAGATTAATATATTAACTTTATACTATATTAATATTATAATATTAAGAACTATTTCTTAATAAATAATAATAACATTTAAAGATTACTTAATAGAAGTCTATTAAATTTATTCGCTTATCTATAGTACTAGTTAGTTACGCTACGCCTCTATCTATCTTAATACTTATATCGCTTATCTATTAATACTTAGTTTATTATATAGAGTTACTATACGTAAATAAGCATATAAGTAAATAAACCTTTTAATAGGTCATCACTATATCTACTTCCAGTTCACTTACTCTTAACTTCTCGAACGATTAGCTTTAGAGTATAATAGCTTAATTTTAAAATATACTAAGAACTAAAATACCTATATTTAGAACTAAAATAAGAATCAAAATAAGAACTAAAATGGATCAACTACGTAATAAGTTTCGCCAGCAACCAAGTCAAATCCTTCCAAGTGTCGAACACCCTCAATTTCAGCCAGCCATTCAGCCAGCCACTCAGCCAGCCATTCACTCAGTCACTCAGTCTGATATTCTGCAAGAGGAGGAACAATACAGTATAGAGAGAATTGCGGAGACGGTCAGCAGCAGCAGTGACACAACAGGCCTGCTCTCCACGATCTCACATCAATCCACTCAATCAGCCACTCAGTCAGCCACCCAGCCCGATACTCAGCAAGAGAAGAAGTCACTACAACAGGCAAATGCGGAGAACACTACGGAGAACACTGCGGAGAATCCTGCGGAGAAATCAAGCGGCAGCAAGGCCCCCATCGTCAAGAACATAGCTCAGCTCTCCACAATCCCACGTCAAATCGCCACTCAGCAAGCGGAGAACACCACTACAATTTGGCCTATCATCCCCACTGCATTGATATGGTACATCACTGCAATGAGCACACAAGAGGAGGATCTACTGCGACGGTCACAGCCAAGTCACTATAACCATGGCAATTAAGCCTCTACAGGAGGGATATCGGACGATACATATTTAGACGAATTGAAACCGTCTGATGTTTTACTCCAATACTATTCGAAGGGTTTCGCTACGGCAGAAGAACTTGTGGGATTCACACCCACTAATTGGCCTGGTGTCTCCATTTCTTTCCGGCATTCGAAAAATCATGCATGCATACTTCTTGCCATGAGGACATGGCCTTTCTCTGTTTTTTGTGGGCAATTGTCATGAGATGCCTCAGGGATACCCATAGGGCCACTAGCGTAGGCTTGGCACCGCGCATATCTACCCTACAGACCACATAGATTAATGCATCAACTTTACACCACATTAATATTATAATATTAAGAACTATTTCTTAATAAGCTTTATAATTAATATATAATCTAAATCTTCTATTAAGCTTCTTTACTATTAGAATAAATATTATATAAAATAAAGTATTTAATCTAATATAATCTTTCTCTAATATTTTATTAATATACTTTTTTATAATTAATACTTTACTATTATAAAGTTTATAAACTCTTTTTAATAGTAAAATAGCTTTTTTAAATAAAAAAATTTATAACTAATAAAGCGATAAGAGAAAAGTTTATTAGTTTTAATAGAATTTTAAATATATAATTATTTATAATATATTATAGAAATTTATTCTCGAAGCTATTCTATAATTAAAGATTTCTTTTTTAACTTATAATTTTTTTTATAATCTTTTATAATAATAATAATAGTATTAATAATAAACTTCGATTTTTTCTTAATAAAATTAAATAATTATTCGAAGTTTTAAAATTATATAGTAATAATTTAATTCTCTAATTTTTTAATTATCTTAATAAAGATATAAGCGAAGATCTCTATTATATTCTTTTTTTTAAATATAATCTTTATTATATAATTTAAATTCTTTTTTAAAAATTTATTATTACTTTAAATAATAACGAGTTTATTATATAATAAATAATTAAATATATAATAATTTAAATTAAATATAATAATTTTAAATTTAAAGAATATATAAGAGTTATATTATTTTAGCTATAATATTTCTAAAATAATATTAAATTATTTTAATAAGATAATAAAGTATTAAAGTTTTTTTATATAATTTTCTAAAATAAGTTTTATTAAGATTATATATATAATATTAAAAATAAAAATAGATTTATTATTAAATAATTATAATCTATAGATTTATCTTAATATTAATTTAAATCGTTTATTTACTTTAATAAAAGATATATTTATAATACTTAGTATTAAAACTTTAATATTTAAAAGATAATTAATTTTAATCTATTCTATTAATATAATTTTCTTTTCATTAAAGTTTAATTAATATTTATTCTATAAAAAGACTTTAATAACAATAATATAAGCGAGTAGAAAGACGAAAGCGAGTATTTTTTTTATTTCTAACTCTTTAATATTTATATATAAAGCTTTTAAATCTCTAGTAACGACTTAACTAAGAATACTTAATTTTTTAATTCTTATAATAGTTTAATAAGAATATTTTCCTTTATATTAATAACTTTTAAAATTATATTAATCTATTCTTTTATTAATAAATCTATATTTCTCTATAGAATAATATTATCGCTAGAATAGTATTTAGTTATTAAATACTTAAAATATCTATCTTCTTTTTAAGTTCTAAAATTTATTAATAATATAAGATATTTTTAATAGTAATATTATTACTTCTTTTAATAAAGAAACTATTATATTAATTATTCGAGAGAATAGAATTTTATTAATCTTTTCTTTACTTCTTAGATTTAACGTATTATTAATAACTCGAAGATCTATATTTAGTGCTTATAGAAAAATAACTAATACTTAAAAAGTATTAAAAGATTATTTTAAAATTCTATATTTTAAATATAGAGAGATTAATAATTTCAAATTAGATATTTTATAAATATTAGTAAATTCTAAGAAAGCGATAGCTATAGAGAGTTATATATAAAAATTCTTATACTATTTCTTTTTATCTATTACTCTTATATTAAATTTAAGATTAAATATCTTAGTATTCGATATAGTAATCTTATTATATATTTCGAATATATTATTTAATTTATTAATTATTTCTTAAATAATTTAATATAGATTTAAGATATTTTTATTTACTTTTATTTTAATAATATTATATATAGTAGACTTATAATATTTTTTTATATAATTAATTTTTTTAAGCTTAATAAGAAAGATTATAATATCTTATTTAAACTTCGCTTTAAGATATTAACGCTAGCTATTCTACTTATCTTAATTATTAATATTATAAAAATTTAAAATATCGAGATATCGTTTATTTAATTTTATATTCTTTACGCGATTTGTAATAGAGATATAGCGTACGTTATTTTAATAGATACTATTAAGAGAATTATTCGACTAACGAGATATAATCTCTATATCTTTTTTATCGAGGTAATTTAAATTAATTAATATATAAGATTATTACTTCTTTAGCTATTACTTCTTATATTTTAAGTCTTATTTAAATTTCTTATTTTTTTTAATAAGTTTCGTAATATTCATATAATATCTATTTTATAAATCTCGAAGTCTCTTATTAATTTTTCGCTTATAAGATAATTAATTATTATATTATTTAATTAAATAAGTAAAGGCTTATGAATTAAATTTATAGAGTTGGGATTTTCTAAGTTAAATCGAATTTTAACCCTAGCTCTAAGTTAAATCGAACTCTAATCGCTTACTATACGTTTTTAACCTACTTTTATTACTATAAAATTAATTTAATCTATATAATATATAGATATATATATACGGAGAGAGGCGCGCTAAGGTCTAATTAGGAAGATATATCAAGTGTAAAGAATTGATTTATAATAATTATCTATAAAAAATAGAGAAAGGCTATATTCTTATGATAAGAAGTATCGAAATATCGAAAAGAAATAGAGATAACGTATTAATTAGTGGTATAAATTTCATAATATCTTCTACCGTAGTAAAATCTTTCGAATAATAAAATAGCTATAGATATCGAACGGTTTCAATTCGTCTAAATATATATTATTCGATATTTCTTCTATAGAGATCTAATTAACTATAATAATAGATTCTTCTCTTATAATATTATTATAATAATATATTATATTAATATAGTAAGAATAATAGACTAAGTTATAATAATATTCTTCGCTTATTAAGTAATAATTTAATATAGAATCGTAGAGAGTATATAACGTGGAATCTTAAAGAGCTAAGCCGTATTCTTAACGATAGTAGCTTTATTATCGCTTAATTTCTTCGTAGTATTCTTTATAGTATTCTTCGCAATATTCTTCGTATTTATTTATTATAGTTTCTTCTCTTACTTCTTAATATAGTAAGAATAATAGATTAAGTTATAGTAGTATTCTTCGCTTATTAAATAATAATTTAATATAGAATCGTAAAGAGTATATAATATGAAATTTTAGAGAGCTAAGCCGTATTCTTAGTGCTAGAGACTTTATTATTACTTAATTTCTTCGTAATATTCTTCGCATTTATCTATTATAGTTTCTTCTCTTACTTCTTCTCTTATAGAGTATTAAATTAAGTAGCTAGTTAAGTAGTTAACTAAGTAAATAATTAATATAATATAAGATCTTAAAGAGCTAAGCTATATTCTTAATGATAGTAATCTTATTACCGCTTGATTTCTTCGTAGTATTCTTCGTATTTACCTATTATAGTTTCTTCTCTTACTTCTTCTCTTATAGAGTATTAGACTAAGTAGAGAAAAACGCGTCTTAAGAGGTAGTATCGCTGGGTTAAAAGGTATTATCGCTGGCTTAAGAGGAGTATATAGAAGAGGATATATCCGTTTAAACTCTTTTAAAGAATCTTTTAATGCGTTTATAAGCAGTAATAAGTAGTTATTAAACTCGCTTACGGTCTCGATTACTAGTAGTAATAAATTCGGGTTAATAGAGACTTTAAGAGATAAATAAAAGGGGTATATATATCTAAAGCGTTTAATAACGTTTCCGCGAGAAATATCGAGAACGATTATATTTATATTAGTAAAATTGATAAAATTAATAAAAGAATAAAAGAATAATAATTATATAAATAAATAGATAAAAGAATTATTATTTAATTCCGGACGCGTTTAATATAACTATTATATTTAAATATTTATTTAATCTATTAATAATAGATTAAACTTTATTATTTTTATAGCGTTAGAAAGCGTAAAGCGAGCTTTATAATTTAAGAAATTATAAAGTAACTATATCTATTATAAACTAAGTATCTTAAAGTATAAAACTTCTATATATAAATTTTTAATAAGAAGATATAAGAGGGCTATCGAGTTAATTTAGTCGATTTAATTAAAGAGCGTAATAACTCTAAATTAATAATTAACTATATATATAAATTCAAGATTTTTAAGCTTAGCTCTATCTTATTCTATTATATATACTAATAATAATTACTAAAATCTTTAACTTAGTTTAAGCGATATTCTAATTAAAATTTTATTTTATTATTAAAAGATCTTAATATTATAGTTAATAGTTTAAAAGTTTTCTATTAAAGTCTTTAATTTATTATATTAAGTATTAGAAGTTTTAATAGTATTTTTTATAAAATTCTATAAATTAGCGATAAAGATAAAGATTATAATTAACTCTTCTTCGATAATATCTATAAATTATATATTAATAAAATTTAATTTAAATTTAATAGTATATATTCTATTAGAGTTAGAATATCTTTTCTTATATTATATAAATAATCTAGTCTCTTTAATATTTAAAATATTATTATTAAAATTAATAGTCGAAAAGATATAAAATTTAATATAAAATTTAGATAATTTTCGAGATAGCATTTTAAAAGATATAGAATATTTCTAATTTTACTCGATATTTTATATATAAATTATCGTATTTTAAAATCGTCTCGTGTAAAACTAACTAGCCTCGTTATAGAACTTTAAGAATTATAAAATTCTATAAATAGAT